ACTAATTTTAAATAAATAGAAGAAAAAAAATGCATTATTAGGGGAAGGGAAGGGAGGAGATCTGGGCGTTAAGAAATCAATCTAAGAGGGGGAATCGCGACCGTTAAAGTGGTTGACTTTCCGGCGGGGGTGAAGGTGAATAAATAGTATGGGATGCGCTGGATCGGGCGGCGGAGATGGCAGCTTTAGCCAACTGGACATATGCGGGTCGGCTTCAAATGTAAATGCTAGCTACTAGCTACTACTGTCCAAGTACTGCTGCCATATTGTTTATCAGTTTTTTTATAAATATTTTATTTTGACATCTACTATAATTATATAATCAACTTTGGGTTGTGGTTTCATAAATTAACATTTTAGCCTCAACTATGTAACATATAGACTCAATTGGCCCGACCCATAGTTTGACCGTCAATTTGAATGGTCAACATCGTTGTCCGTTAGTCAACACGCCACGTCATTTCCTCGTCAGCCTAAAAATCATTCAAAAATTCAAAATTAAATTATTTTTCTAATTTCTATTATTTATCATTTTCAAATTAACCAAAAAATAAATTTTTAAAAATATAAAATAAATGTATGTTATATCTTTTGGGACATTTGATAAATGATAAATTTTATAAATTAACAAAAAATTACCAAATTAACAAAAAAAATATTTTTAAAATTTTATTTTTGGTTAATTTGAAAATGATAAATAATAATAATTAGGAAAATAATTTGAATTTAAATTTTTTAATGATTTTTAGGTTGACTAGGCAATGACACGGCGTGTTGACTAACGGTCAATAGTGTTGACCGGTCAAATTGCCGGTCAAACCATATGTCGGGCCAATTGAGTCTTTATGCTACATAGTTGAGGTCATGATGTTAATTTCTGAAACCACGAGCCAAAGTTGATTATATGGTCATAGTTGGGCCAAAATAAGGTATTAACCCTTCTTTTGTTTATAACTCTTGTTTTTTATATCACATTTTTTTATAAGAGTAATATAATTTGATTTTTCTAATTAGATGTTACTGAATGAATGAATTCGTGCATGAACAAATAAGTCTTGATGTTACTTATTTGGAGAAGGGATTCGACTTCCTCTTTTTGTATGGTGGGTTAGCGAGCAAATGAGAACAGCGGCTTAAACCATTAGGGTGTACGCGCTTTTCAGACGACAAGAAGCGAGGGGATTGGTCGCGGGGGATTGCACTAATTCAGCCTCGGATTATGAAGCAAAATGGCTTACAGTACATCTTTATTTTTTTAGATACTTTAACTTTCGGGTTAACATAAAATGTTTCCTTTTCATGCAGTTAGGAAAAACAAAACAACAATTGTGGTGTTAATTCCCTCCCTCCCTCCATCCTTTCTTTTTTGTGGTATCTTATTGAGCGTCGTGTAAAAGCGTGCGCACGTGTGGGTTCCCTTTCCCACCCACTGGCTTGCTGCTGAGAATGAGATGGGGTTTCGTGCACAACCACAACACAACCCTCGTGTGGAAGCCCAGCACCAAACAAAGAAGAAAGCAAAACAAAATAACAGAAAAGGAATTCCTCTCGTTTTCCTGAATGAATAATAATAAGCCTTTCCCCCCTACTGGAGAAAAGAAAGAAAGCCTTTTTTTTTTTTCTTCTTTCTCTTTCTTTTACGAAAAAGGAGAAACTTGCACGAGTGGATTCCTTTTCTCATTGTTCATCGTCACCAGGTAATCCATTTGCTCTGGTTTTGTGACGATACGGGGAAAAGAACTTCAAAAGGGAGCCTTTTCTTTGATTGGAACGAACACTCCACCTTTAACCTCCTCAAAAACTTTTTCTTCTTCATCCTTGTGTGCTTCTCAATTAGGGCGGCAAATGAGCCAACCTACTTGCGAGCAACTCGAGATTCGAATCGGGAAAAGCTCGCGAGCTAGCTCGATTCGGTGGCTTGTTGAGCTCAACTCGTGAGTTGGCTTATTTAGAGCTCATGCGATGTCTCAACATTATGGTTTGAAGGCCATCTTTATCACCGACTTATGGACTAATCGATCTAATTTGGACTTTCATAATTCATAGGATTGTTAAATTATATATCTCACATTATGTGAAATTTAACATGTTGAATTTTTTTTTTTTTGACAATAAGTTTAACATGTTGAACATGTAAGAAAATATGCCTTATTTTTAATTCTATAAAGAAATTAATTACAAAATTGTTTCGACATTATGAAATAACATTATTTGAACTAGTTAAAATTTATTAACCGAACAATATGACACCTACAAATTGTAAGATAAGATTAATTCATGTTGAACATTTGATTATTTTTTTATCATTACATCAATCACGTGTACCATACACGACATACAAAATGAATGTATCAAATACGATCTAAGAATTTAGTAAACAAGTCTAGCTCGAACTCGACTCGGCTCGTTAATAAATGGATCGGGCTCGAGTTCGGCTCATTTGTTAACGAGTCAAGCTCAAGTTGGGGTAAAACTCGGCTCAGCTCGGCTCATTTGCAGCCCTATTCTCAATTGGTATGGCAATGTACAAACATTGTAATCAAAAGTGGGTTTTGGGTCGAGGAATTTTAACATGGTTTAAATTGTGGTGTTTTAGTTTTAGTTTTTATAGTATAATTCGAAGTTGTACTTTTAACATTATGGTACAACTTTTAGATTGTAACTATACTCTTTTGTATAATTCTTTTTATTGTACAAACTAAAATTGTACCTATATATTATGGTACAATTTGAAGTTGTACAATAACAAAAAGGTTCAAATTTTCTTATGATACAAATTCAATTTATACCTATTTCTACCTTAAATCAACTATACTTTAAAGTTTAAAGTATAATAAAAGTGCGATTTTGGGTTGCACTTTGCACCATGCATCATTGCCATTAGTTCATACTTCACTCACAAATGACCATCACAATACTGTTGACTTCCGGTAACATAAAAATTGTTTGTCAATTCATTATCTGCTGATGTTGTTGGGATCTCGTAGCTATTTTAGAAAAAATTGAACGAATTTTCGTCATGCAAAATATATATATATATATATTTTGTGTGTTTCTCTATAATGAGAATAATAGAATGTTTCTCTATAATGAGGATAATAGATTTATTACTTTAAATCTTTATGTGTTATGCTAGTCAAGTTCAATTTTCAAATTTTTATAAATCTCAAATTGAATGCAGTTTTTCCTCTCTTTTTTCTTGCAAAAAAATATTTTTGGGGAAGCAACTATACACGAGTATGAACACATCATCTTTGATGGACAAATCATAAAACAAAGAAAATATAGGGATAATGGTCAAATCAGAAGTGGATCCTTCAAGGCATGCTTTTTCATATTGTCAACAATATGGATAGAATGTAGTTTTTTTCAATAACTTTAAAGATCAAATTGTTGGGTTCTCCTTGCTTATTAGGGATCTTATCATAGGCAATTCTACTTTGAGTTCCTTCTTATAGTTACATATACCGAGAATGAACATATTGGACTGCTTCATTTCATTCGTTAATAGAATAGGTATCTACTCGAAACTAATGTTATGTGGGACGTGTTTGTTCAAAAACCAATTTAAAAGAATTAATAGACAAATTCAACCAAATCTACATATATTAAGTGGTGGAATTCCTGGATCCTTCCCAAATTAGATCTACAACCTTCATCGACAAATTTGACAATGTCTACGTCGCTTACATATGTTAAACACCTTAGAAAAGGGAAACACCATGTGCTAGAGAAAGGGGGATGTTAAGCATAATTGCCTAGTAATTGGTCTACCAAATCAGATTCCTGCAACTTGCTCTCTCCAACTCTCTCTAGTCTCTATCCTTCTTTTTTAGGGTTCCAGAATGAGGATTAATTTATGATTAATCATTAATGTAGTTTAAGTAAGTGCAAAGATGAATGATTGGGGAATATTATTTTAAGCTAATCAAGTTAGCGTTAGAACTGGAGGTTGGAATGGGTCCAAGTAAGATGACAAATGATGCACTGGATATTTCTAATAAGATGGGGGGGGGGGGGGGGGGGGGGGGGGGGGGGGCAACCAAAAAAATAAAAATGAAATGAAAATTGGGGTTGAATCTTATTATGGCTTTATTAGTGTTGCGTGGGGGAATTAATTATAGAAAAAAATGGAAATATGGTCCTACAAACCAAAAAGCCAAACCGGACGCACCACATCACATGTTCCAACTTATCAAGTAGGTGGGAGGGATTGATCGTCCCCTCCTAATTCCCTTCTTATTAATGTTTTTATTGTTTTGTATCGGGGTGTTTATGGTACACCCCTGGATTATGAGAATATACTATATGCTACACGTACGCTGTATTAATAATTTGGTTCGTGCTAGAACGAGCTCAAATCTTAATCACATGATAATGAAAGCGAAAAATGTATAAATTTACGCATAAATAAGTTTGTAATTTGCTTGTGTTTTAAAGGAGTTTGTTCAAAACCTTATTCGAAGTGGGGTGGAAGGCAGGCTTGTTTGTAAATTTACACGAGTAAAGTGAAGTTCATTTCCCTAGTTTCAAGCATTTTATAGTGTTGGATGAATCTTGCTGCTTCCGTTGATTCTTGGACAAGTTGAGGTGTTGTGTCATAAACTTTTACGAGGAGTTGATGAATTTGACGCTCATTTGGGGCACTTGTAAACCTACCTTGTAGCAGGTTCACATGCCTAGAGCTGAGAGGGTAAGGTGGATGGAGATAAAGAGATTTCAAACTCCTGAAATCGTGTTTGTATGATCCGCCACATTTTGAATTTATGGTTCCAACAACAATTGTTGTGTCTAATATGTGTAAAAAATTAGTCTAATGTTCTCGGATTCAAATTTCTTAACTAATATCTAACTACAAAAAGTAAACCTATATCAGTATTTTGCATCATACTTCTATTATGTGGAGTATATCAGTATATGAAAGCACATTCTGAAATGAAGACCACGTGCACAAAAGTTCATTTCAGGAATTCAGGTACCGCTTAAGTCTTAACGACCTTCCAATCTCACTTTCTTTACGGGCCGGCCCAAAGGACTGGCCGAGTCCAACACCTTGGCCGTACAGAGATCGATAGTAACAGCTTTTAACTGGGCCTAGAGCCCAACAAGAATGTCGGGACACGAACAAAGCTGATCCGATTCTGAAGCAGAGAGTGGCTTCATTTCATTCCCATCTTCTCCGGGCATTACCGGCCTCTGTTCGTCTCATTACCAAGCAGCAGTTGATGAATCCCAGCGTTCTAAACATCCCATCTCCCACTCCTTCCTCTACATCATAATCCCACTGGAATAGTTCGTGAATGGCGATGGCGACTCTGGTTTCAACTCCAACCACTTCATTTTCAACTTCCACCAGAGCAAGATCTCTTCTTCGCCCTTGTTCTTCGATTTCCTGCTGTAAAGCTCCCAACTTTGGCCTTTCTACTTGGGTACCCCAACTGGGTTCAGGGAATTTGTCTCAATGGAGTGGATTAAAACAGCTCAGCATCTCAATTACTCCAAAGTCTCTTCATAAAGGTAGTAAGTAGAGTGTTTCTAAGTTGGGTGTGCTTATACTTTCCATTTTAGCTTCATAGTGATGGGAAATGATGTGTTTTATCGATTGGGGGATCTGGGAATTTGGCGTTTTCAGAAAGGAAAGGGAGGTGTAATGGCAGCAGGGTAGTTCGTGCTTCTTTGTTCGGAGTTGGAGCTCCGGAAGCTTTGGTCATTGGAGTGGTGGCTTTACTGGTGTTTGGTCCAAAAGGTCTCGCCGAGGTTAGTTACCGTTGAATTCCCTTTCGTTACTCTGTAGCTGAAAGTTTAAACCGGAAAGGAATGGGTTAATGAAGCTTATTTGTAAGTTTAGGGAATCATCATACGTTACTTGTCACCGTGGTTCAAAGTAGGAGGAAAGAATTTGAGATATGGCAGCTATAGTTGTATAGCAATAGAGAACGGAAAATGGTTCTGGTATCCTTAATTTTGAGCTTCTTATATGCAGGTTGCCCGCAACTTGGGCAAGACTTTGCGGGCATTTCAACCTACCATTAGAGAACTCCAGGTAGATAGTGATTAACCTCTGTGGTTTTCCAGTGGTAGTGTCTTCTTTCACTGCTGTTGTTTTATATATACTATGGTCGATTCACTTACATCTACTAATTTAGGAAGTTTCTAGAGAGTTCAAAAGCACCCTTGAGAAGGAGATTGGTCTTGACGAGATAACAAATGTTACACAAACCACAAATTTCTCCAACAAAACACCTAGTGCTCCTCCTGCTGCTTCATCGCCTTCTTCATCAGTTACCAGCACTGCAGATTCTCCAGCTCAAGCTGAACCCAGTAAGTTCGCCCGTGCAACTCTTCAGCAACCATATTTCGTGTTTCCGTTATTGTTACAAGAGCAGAAGCTTGGACATGTTTTCTGCTTCGCCATTGTCAAACCAATGAGTTTGAAATTTAGCACTACCTTGCTTGAGTGAGTAGACGGGTCAGAATCTGCCTGGAATTTCCGGAGCTTTTCTGCTGAATACTTCGATGGTTGGATAGAACGCCAATGGTATCATTGACATTGATGTCTTAAGCCACAGAGCACAGAGACAGAGTAGTAGTTCTTGTCTTTGTCAGTAGCTCCGATCTATATAATCTCAGTAGTGGTTGACTGGTTGTATGTCCCTGAAAAATTACAGATGGTACTCCAGCCCCGAACAATGCATATACCAGCGATGAGTTATTAAAAGTCACAGAAGAACAGCTCAAGGCATCCGCTAGCCAGCAGCAATCTGAGATGCCTGTCCTCGATAACCAGCCAGAAGCTAAAGTCGCAGAAGAGCAGCCGGAAGCATCTGTTGCTCAACAACAAATGCCGACTCCTGACATGGCCGATAGCCAAGTAGAGGAAGCTCAAGCTCAACCCACAGGTTATTAGTAATGCATGACAAAATCACTCTATCTGGCTCCTTTCCCATTCGCTCACAATCTTGTTTTATTACTTGCAACAGTCAAAGATGCTGCAGCTGCCTTATCGCCCGGCTCAGCAAAGCCAGAAAGTGAGACATGAGAATCCTCTTGGAATTGATGACAATGCTCGAAAGCCCTGGCACCGCAAAGTCCTAGAGGAAATGAGGCCCTGCTAGATGTCTGGTTTTGTAGTTGTTAGGATAGAGATGAGATATATGCAGCCAGCTTGAAAGCTATCAAAGCCAGTGAAATATGTTGAAGATGTAAATTACAATTTTGTTGTAGAAAAATGGACTTGTTGCAAAACATACCTTATTGTTGAGGGCCAATGTTGTTTGTCCCTCTTCTATTCATCTGCCGGCACAGAATCGTTCCAAATTGACCAAGGACTGGATTTACAGTCATTCCAAATCAACCCAAAGAATAATCGTTATTTGATTGTAATCGTATTTGATCAATTGATCCGATTCAATCCACGTGAGTTTTTGGAGTCCATATACCTTTGGGTCAATCTGAATCTCTCTAAACGTTAATTCTTGGAATAAAAGCGAAATTAAAATACCTATGATACAATCTGATTCGATCTAGCTTTCAATTCGACTTAATTTTTACAGCACCCTAATCATTGCCCACCATGCTACACTGATGCACATTCTGCATTTTCTCTCTTTCATTTATAATTTATAACCGGGAAAAAGAATTACACAGAAAAGTTACAATAACCACAAGCCTAGCGTTTTCGCTACATCAAATTCATCGGTCTGTGAGCGTCAAAATCTAGGTGCTCTCCATTAGGAGGGCCACTAAATCCATACATTTCAAAAATCTTCTCCTCCGGTGGCGCCATAGTCATACCTTCTCTCCCTCGAAACCCTCCTTCCAAGGGAGGTGGTCCTGACCATGGAGCTGGAGTCGAAGGATTCGAACTAGATGCCTCAGGGTTCAGCGCAAATCCAGCTGGATTCTGTGGGGAGTTGGCAGCTGGTGGTCGTCTGCTGGAGGAATTAGCAGCTGTCAGAGAAATCGAGGCTGATTGCTGCTGCTGGTTCTTCATTGGCGACTTTGGCCGAAGCGACTCTATCTCTGGCGTGGTTACTACCAAATGCGGTGCCTCTGGGGGAGGGTTCCGGCCACCGCCTCCTTGCCAGACTTTCCCGTCCTTGTCGGCAAAGTTCTTCACATACGTCTGAGAAAAGATAAAAATAGATTTCTTGTTTAAGGGTGAACGATAGCAGGAGGTTGGAACATCAAGTGTTGTGATGAAAGATGTCTGTACCTCAGCATTGAAATTTGATGATGATAGTTCTTTACCAACTGTCAACCAGCCAGCTCTGATGTTATGATCCTCACCGAAGAGTTCAAGCCTTCTTCGGCCAAGGGAGAAGTGCTCTATGATTCTATACATATCTTCAGGCTTCTGAGTAGAACCTACAATTTGATTGTAAAATACTCGTTAAGGCACCATGTTGTCAAAAAATCATGATTAAAAACAACTCGACAAGGCAACATGAGTCCATAAATCTTAAAGATTTAAGATTCTAGATAGGCAAGCCTTGTTGGAATAGACGATTTAAGACTCCACTTGAAGAATCTTACTATTTTTTTTTCCCACGATCTACAATTAAGTGAGAATCATAATTTGAAATTAATCAAAATTATACAATTTCACGATACAACTCTAAGATTATAGTGCTTTTCAATTTTACTCTTCAGCAACTATGCAGAAGAAGGGCACTCAATCACAAAAAGGAAGCAGTTTCCACTTCTATATTCAGATTCTCCAAATCCTGGAGGGCATGAAGTTAAAGGGCAACTAACCATATGGAGGTTCCTCAGCAATGATTACATCGGTATCAATGTTGGCGTGTATGATATGGCCATCAGTGCTGCGGCGAACTGTTCCTTTAATCCCCATCAGGCAATGTTCCTGGATGTTTCAGGGCAAAATGACCCAAGTTTTAGCGAAGGTAAAGGGACAGTTATGTGCAAAGGCAAAACATGACATTGTTACTAACCTTTGAGTGCTGAAAAAGAGTATGAGAATCATGTCGCAATCCTGGTGCTGCATTACTTTTGTTGGTTTTTACCCAACAAATATCCTCGCATCTTCGGAAGCCCCACTAAAGCACAATTGGAGAGACCCGCTATCAGGCTCAGCTATAGATATGTAAGAGTTAACAACATATTTCATTGATTCAAATCTCAGAGCTAGTACCTTTTTCAAACATTGACGACCTTGTTCAAGACCCACACCATCCCCCACCCAAAGGAAGATGAAAGACGGTGTATCTGCAATCGCCTATACAATGGAAGGCAAATATTTTAGAAGAGAAAACAGCATTTCTCAACTATAATCACCATGACATATGCAATGCAAGTGCTAAGACTATAGAGGCATGAGCATGTAACGCCACTACCTCAATCTTAAGATTCAAAATTTCTTCAAATGTCCAATAATCCATATGATCAGCAACACCTGGAGCACGATGAACATACTCCTCCCATGGCGGGTCTACCAGGATAACATCAAACTTGGTCCCAAACAACTCCGGGGAGAGCTCAAGTTCACGAAGATCGCCTTGTAAATACATGGGAGCAGATGCAGCTTTAGCCACAATCTCATCCTTCTTCTGTATCAGCTCCCTGAGTTTTGGATAATCCTCCACAACATTAGTCAGCTCCAGCTCCCTAATAAAATTCTGAGGTCGCATACCAGTATCAACAAAATTCTGGGAGTAGTCATTTTGCTCACCCCTCGAAGGAGCCTTACCAGGAGGTCCACCACTTCTGGAAGGTGCCCAGCTCCCAGGGGTTTTATCTGGTGGAGCCCCCCGTCCTGCTGGTCCTGAAGCATTAAAGGCAGGACCTAGCATACTACCAGGCACTACCCCTCTTCCAGCTCCTGCCTGATTGAAAAACATAGCAGGGTTTGATGCTGGAGTCCCTAAATTAGGGTGGAATCTTGAGCCTGAAGGTCCAGGAGGGATAGGAGATAGAGAGGGTGGAGCAACAAGCAAATTCATGTCAACTCCACGAGAACCGGGCCAAACAAGAGGTGGTGAAAAGGATGGGATAAAAACTCCAGGGGGGATCTGAGCTCCCGGAGCTGGTGACATACCAGGCCCAAGCGGCTGCAATGCACCAGGAGGAGGTCCAAGTCCAAAGGGAGATGCCATTATGGGCAACGGAAGTCCAACCTGTTGATTGTCTCTCCCACCAGGTCTCCCTCTTCCTCCTCTGCCCAGCCTATTTCCTTTTACACCCTGTGGAAGAGCTCTGCCAAAGGAACCGTGATCCTGGTTTCCAAATGGAGGTTGTGAACCACCAGAAGAACTTGAAGAACCACCACGACCAGAGAAAGTGCCCTTCTGGCCTCTTCCTTTTCCTCCTTGGCTTTCACTGTCGTCTCTCCATGAAGTTGCATCCTGCATTGATGTAGGATCATCCCCATATCTCTCTCTAGAATCCTCAGCTGCTGATCCAGACCCATATGAATCATGCCTTCTACCCTCAAGATTGGTTGCTGATTTTGTGTCATGACTAGTCTCACTTCTCCTAGCAAAGTTGGAAGCAGAATCTGGCCGTCCATACTCAAGAGGCTTGGTTTGGATCTCTATAACATCATAATTCTCGTTTGAGATACCAAAATTTGATGAGGTTTTTACAGCTTCACCTCTGTTTCGACCATGGGGCCTTTCATTGTCAATCCTTTCCCGACCATGTCTTGGCTGCTCCCAGTCTCTCCCACGATCATACATAACATCTCCATCTTTTGAATCTCTGTCATTATTTATTGGTTGCCTTCTTTTCCAGTTGTCTTTAGAAGATTCCCTATCTCTATTCCGATCATTCCGGTTGTCATCCCTTGCTTTTGTTCTATCATCCCTGTGATTATCTTTCTCGTTGTCTCGTCGTCTGGCATCAACATTTCTTTCATTCCTCTCAGGCGTCCTAGACCTGTTAGAACGGGGTACTTCTCTTGAACCCTTCTCTCTTGTCCATACATTCCCATCTTCCTCTAAATGGGAGGATCTTTCACGATTTTCAGTAACATCTTTACCAGAAGAAGACCTCTGCTGCCTGTGCTTCTCAGTTTTCTCACGACCCAACCTGTCCTCACGACTGGCAGGACTACCTTTATTGTCTTCCTCTACAGCTTCTGATCTGTTTTTGCTCTTACTTCTTTCTGCGTCGACTTTCTTATCATCTTTGCTGGTGCTTTTCAAACTTTTCTCACTGCTCACATCCACATTTCTACCTTTGGTTTCACTTTGTTCAGCTTTTGCAGAAGCACTTTTCTCTTTGGAATTCTCATGCTTAGAATCAGAAGACTTGCCCACTCGCGTTTCAGCCTTCTCATTTTCTTCAGCTTTCCTATCAGGATCTAATTCATCCAATTTCTTCCTTGAGGATTTCCCCTGTTCAGAAGAGCCATGACCCTTCTCTCGACTGCTCTCTCTCCTCTCAGAATGCTTTGCCTCTTTATCTAGTACCTTCTCATGTTCTCCATCCACCGACATTTCATCTTTTTTACTTCTAGAACTTTCATGTTCAGAAACTTTTGAAGTCGCCTTCCTTCTGTCACTTTCATCAGGACGAAGCCCATGTGCTTTACCTCCGGACTTATCGCCCCTAGTTTCTAACTCTCCATCTTGGTACCAACTACTCAACTTCTCCAAGCTACTCTCTTCTTGTTTCTTCTTCGCTTGTTTTGACCTCGAATCTTTCCGAGCTTCGTAATCATCCTCGTCGCTCTCAACCCTGCTAGAGCTTCCAACACCTGACCTCTTACGGCTCTCGCTTCTATCCCCACCACTACTTCTCCGTCTCCCACTACCATCCAATCCATCACCTTCATCCCCATTGTTCAACTTTCTAGACTTGCTTGACCTGTGCTTCCTTTTATCACTTCCCTCGAAATCTTCATCATCTCCAGCCCTATCACTCTTTATGTCCGAACTATCATCTACATCTTGCTTCGAATGGCTTCTGCCACATTCAGGGGAATCCATATATCCTGCAAATAACTGCACCCCCACTTTCAGTTAGAATGACACCACCTTTTCAACTTTCCATTAATATATCCCTATTCAAGAGTGCAAACGAGATCTTAATTGAAATCAACAACCTTTAATTGTTAACTGGCATAGTGGCATCTCGAAAGTCACTAACTTTGCAGATATTGCTAGCCGACAACCTAAAGCAAACCACTAGGATTACGAACTTCTAGTTCTTAGCCTGCATCTACACCATTATGAAAAATGTTCAATGAACTAGACTGACAAGAGCAAAAAACTGCAAGATTCCATTCTCGCGAAACAGGAATGAGCACTGCGAGTGAATCCAAACTAAGCGATGATGCAGATTGAATGAAAGAAAGCTCCATAACCCTAACCCCTACTTACTTCCGGCTCAATTACTCGGTTTCCATGGAGGAAGCTA